ATTCGTCATAAGTTTCGACTCAGGGTTTCGGACTTTCGGTTTCGTCAAAACCGTTAAAAGTTTCGGTCACATGTATAGTCTACATATTATTAAAGTGATTTTTTCTACGATCATGTAAAAAATGGCCACTTCAACTGGATACAAAATGTCAAACAAAAAAAAAAAATTGTTACTTATTTATTTGTTCGAAAGGACACTCTCTGTAGATAATAATTATTATTTTATATACTAAAAAACTTTAAGTAAGACCATTGCAGTAAATAGGTTGGCAGCATACAAGAACGAAGATACAAATTCATGGTAAATAAACATATGCTGAAGCATAGCTAACACTGCTATCATCTCCACGAGTAACTTGGCTTGATTGTGAATAATGCACGAATCTAATCCTTGGCTTTGTAGTATCAAAAGGTAGATTAGGCTCTCCTTCTTCTGTAACAGTTTTTTCTTGACTATTTTGCAAAGCATCAATCGTGCTTAAAAGTACTCCAATAGGATGTCTTCCACATATAGTATTCTTTGTTTTAGAAAGATACGTATGAAATTCTTTATGATTCATTTCTTCGATAATAGTCATTCCTTCACGGTCGAGATTTTCGATAGATTTATATATCGGAATTGATAGAGGTGTATTAGACTTACGTGAGAGATAAGTTGTGTTGACTGAATCAGAATAATAGGTATACGAAAATCGCTGGCCCCTATGGGTAAGATTAATTATAAATTAAATTACACAATTCTTTTTTTTTTTTTTTGACTGGAAACACATATAATATCTTACCAATGACAAAAATCTGACGAGACAACGAATAAATTTGATGGATCAGAAAGGTAAGAACTAAGAATTTTTCCGTATAATTGTTCTTTGGATTCTGATAACGAGCCAACCATAATTGGCACGATTTTGATAGAATCAATCTTGCTATAAAACATAAATAAAATGTGCCCTTTAAGAATGAAGATATGACTATGCTTAAAATAATAAACTTATATATTACCTTTCCAAAATCTTATAAACGTACGGAAGATGCATCTCGATACTATGTTCTTCCTCATCAACAATAAGTGACATTTCCTCAAAGTGACCAGTTTGTCGCAACTCATTAATAACTACAAGAAAAAAAATTTTTAACATTGATAATATGAAATGAAACTAGTAAAATATCGAATAAATGAATACCTTCAATATCCAAAATTAGTTTTCCCAAAGGCGTTTCATACTCGGTACATTGTGAAATGGCACATTTTGTAAGATATACATGGTGAGAAGGGCCGAGAATGAATACGCGCTTCCTGTAAAATTCATGTATCACGTCGAAACACGCCGTTCATGAATGATTAGACAACGTGATACAATCAAACCTTTTCCACATCGATGAATAGACCTTACACAAAAGCGGGATCAATACACTTATAAGCAAATGCTGCTGCTTGTCCACTATATGAATATCCTGCATGTCTAATTACGCATATTAATAAATAATCCGAAAAAAATAAGTAAATCTATAAAAGCATCCATATATTAATTCTCAATTTTATTATAGAAAAGATACTTGCGGTGCAATAACCGCGCGAGCTCCAGGCACTGGAATAGGAACATTGTCTTCCGTTAAAGTTGGTACATTTTCTAGCCATTGATTAAGCTCCTTATTTAAACGAAGTCCTTAAAATGACAGACCGATCAAATATTGTGACAGTTTTTGGTGCAAAAGATCACTTTGGTTGAATTCTCACCACAAAAGTACAAAGTTCATTACATAAATTTACCATTATCAGTATACCAAGAACCGGCATGATAAGCTTTTCTACTCATTTTTAATAGTTAATTGTATAGCAACAACAACTAAAAAAAGTTATTTGAATATCAATCTCAGGAGAAAATTTCCTATTAATTCGAAGATCGTTACACTAGGGTGATCATCAAACTAATTAAATCAAATCATAGTTTCGACTACATATAAAATTTATTATGCAAGGATTTTTTA